ATTACCCAGAAACATCTTGAATCGTCTTGGAAACTTTCATTTTCTTCTTTGCTCCTTTGTACAAGTCCTCCAAACTACACATGACAGTGTTCTCCACCGCGGGAGCCTTTCTAGATGCACTGGAACTCGCTCCGGAGAACTCAGCTCCAGCATTGGCCGTGCTCCTGAAGAAGCCATCCCTAGTCTCCCTGCCCCGCCCATTATGAATCTTGGAGGAGGAGGACCCTCCGAACAACTCGGCATAAATATCCTCCGCATCCCGGGGGTTAAACCGGAAGGAGGGATTGGGATGGGGCTGGGTATGGAAGTGGTGGGTCCCACCCCGCGGTGGATGGGGGACCTGCCCTGATTTGAGCGCCTCCTCGCCGTAGAGATCATAAATTTGGCGTTTCTGGGGATCGCTGAGGACATCATAGGCCTCGGAGACCTGCTTGAACTTGGTCTCCGCTTCGTGTTTTTTGGGGCCGGGGTTCTTATCGGGGTGCCAGATCATAGCCAGACGGCGGTAGGCTTTGCGCAAATCATCGTCGCTGGCGTTTCGGTTGACCTTGAGAATGTTGTAGTAATCGACCCCCATAGCTCTGCAACCGGATGCCTGGAGGGCTGGATGGGCGGAGGGAGCTCGGAGACTCAGAGGCGGTGGAGGATTAACACCACCCCATCTGTAATATCCAACGGCTTAGATGCCGAATCAGTTTCTTGTTTTTGTTTTCTAAAAATGATTTTTAAAAAAATTAAAATGAGAGTTTTACTCCCTCCATCCACAAATAAACTTCTCCTTCATTATTCATATTATTCATAGGGTCAAACTTTATTCACTTTGTTGGCCTATTTTCGTTACCCATTTGATAAAATAATATAGTCATGCTACTTCTAGTTTTGTAGATCTTTTGATATATTTTTTTAATACGTAATTTTTATTTTTAAATTTTACACCATTTTTCACATAAAGTAAAATGATTTGAAAATAAATTCAGTCAAACATCGTAACGCACAACGGGAAATTTATTTATGGACGGAGGGAGTATATATTATTTTTAAAATAAAAGTTATAATGTCAACATATAATTACAAGCCTACCGGTTTGAACTCTAATTGGGGAAGAGGCATATAGACCTTGTTGGCTGTTGGGAGTTCGTGCCAACTATTGTGAATGACTTTTTATTTTAGCTGGTTTGATCGGCAGGATGAATTGACTGATTGTTAAAACTGTTTGGTAAGATTAGCTATTTGAAAATAGTTATTCATATATATATAATATATATATACACACACACACACACACATATATATAGAGTTTGGTTCCAGTAAGAATGAGATCTAATGAAAGAAATAAGAATGATTTCTGGCCGTTAGATTTGTATCATTTTGGAGACTGGATCCGTTTCACCAATGGGGTAATTTGGTATTTTCTCATCTAAGCCATATCTATCGATTATTTTCCCTGATTTCCTGCCGATCATCTCCTAAAATTCTTTCCACAATCTCAACGTGAATTTTGTTTCTCCAGCGGCGGTCATGGAGGGTTTAATCACTCATTGGTGTGTTCCTCGCCCTAATTTCATACGCACCACTCTTAATAGTGTCCTAGCAGAAGACCACACATGAGTTCAATTTCTTCATCAGGTATGCAATTTGCATATTGAAAATTTTTCATAATGGTGATCCCTTTTTATGTCCATTTTTGCACAGATTTGCATAATTTCTATGCGATTTGAATATAGCTCGATATTGTGGTGCTCGTTCTTGAATTATTTTTTCCAGAATATTTTAGAGGTTTTAATTTCTTATCATTGGTAATATTTGTGTAGGTTGGGAGTTTATTCTTAACTTATGAGGGTTTGCAGCTTATTAGTTATTATTAAGTTATAGCTAATTACACCATTTTTTATGACTATTTTTCACACCATGCATTTTGTATCACAAATACTGCACTCCACTCTGTGTGATGCATTTACATATGGATGTGGGTTCAAATCTTCCATTGACACTTTTTTTACTGAAAGAAAGAGAAATGTTTTGTAATTATTTGAGACTAACAAGAAACAGATATGTAACTAAGTAGTTAAATGAACTTTAATCTTTTGAAGATTTACCTTTTTGATATTTGATTCTTTCATATCAAATTGATTCTTCTACATCAAATTGTCTGGTTAAAAATATTATAATGCAATATGTCATTACAAAAACCTAATTTAATGCATTATAGTAGCCGATCATATCTGTATTCATTTGTTTTAGTAAGGGGCATGAGTTCCCATCCATTCTTAGGGTTCATACTTCTACTGATTCAAGTAAGCCTTTGCTTTTTACGGTTTGTAATATGCTTTTTGTTTATTCTAATTTCTAGCACATATTTTTAATTCACTTGATTTTGTTTTAATTCAATGTATGTGTATGAATTCATTGAGCACTGTCCAGAATGATTGATCCCTTCTCTGTAAGTCCTCATAACATGCAATTTAAGTGCATTATATATAATCTTAAGTGCATTATAAAGAAGTTGTTGTGCATATTCCGTAGGCTCTAGACTGATTTGTAAAGTTTGATGAGTATTTTAGTGATTTGTAGTTTATTACTTTATGTTCTATTGAATGTATGTACGCTACTGCTATTTTGAGTTATATTTGTTAGTGCAATTGTTTGTGCATATGTTGCTATTATTATGTTCTATGCTATTTTCTCTCAGTCTTTCAAAATTATATATGAAATAATGCAATTTTGCAAAGATTAAAATGCATTTCTAATAGGTTAAAGTACAAGAGTGAAGTCCTTTTGTTGGTGCATCCAATTGGTTTAAGTACTGCTACCATCAATACTTTGTGTATAAAATGTATTAACAAGCATGATTTTAAGTATAAATAATGTTTTTAAATAAGACTTGATTGTCTATTAGCTCAAATGGTAGAGCGATATGCATTTGCATATAAATGTAGGTTCGAGTCCCATATAGACAAATCACTGTTATCTTACAATGACATCATACACTATATAAACAATGCAATACAAGATAAATGTTATACACTTAATATTTTTCAAATATAAAGTCTGCAAATTTCATCAATGACCACTCTTGATTATGCTTCCCTAGTTTTAATCTCATATGGAATGTCACACAGTGACGTGGCTTGTTTTAACCCATCAAAATTAGTCCCGTCAGTGTGAGGCAAGTGAGTGGAGTGACATTCCTTCCAATGACAAGTCTTTGCTTTTGTCAGTTTTTACACTTTTTATAAATATATTTTAATTATTAAAAATTATTTTACTTATCTTTTTTCAGATGTATTCCTTTTTAAATTTTGTTTACAAAAAACAACAAATTAAAAATAAAAAAAGAGTGTCTGGGAGTTGCCATGCCAAGCATGGCAAAATAGCCACGCGAGTCAAATAGATTAATTGGATGATGCGGCAGGGCGTGGCAAGGAATTGCCTCGCAAGTGCAGGTGCTCTTAATACGCGCGTATATATGCTCCCATTAGACAACAATTGCACATGCAATGCATTGTGTTGCAGCTATAGGTCAGCATGGTGCATGCATACGGATAAAAAGTCTTATTAGTTAATGCAAATTTCTAATATGTGTGCATACTTAATAATATATATTGCATATATGTTTGAGAATAGTGCATACAAATAAAAAAATTAACTAGTGAGAAAAGTTCATTGACTTGTATTAAGTAGCTAAAATCATTGTCTAGTGCACCACAATTGCATGAATAATCGTAAAGAAAGTGTTAAAAACTAAAAGATGAGTAAAAGGTATTTATGAGAAAGAATAAAACATGAACCGCTCATATTATATTTTTTCAAAATTAATTACGGACTACATTTTCATTTCTAGATATTGCCCAATTACAATTATTTTAACAAAAGAATTTAATATGCTTTTAGATAAATCCGTACTACAAATCTCTATCACATTGAGTTTTTACGGTCTTCAATACAATATTTTAACTATTAATATCTCTATTCGTGTATAGGCATACATTATAAATACATGATATTTAGAACTGCATTACAAAATAAATCTATTGATATTATATTTATGATGGACAATAAATCCACCAAATGATCCGGTTTACAGAGCGGATCGTAAGAACAAAATTAAGAACAAGAATTCGAGAATTGGATGTGTATTACTAGCTTGATTTAGCTTGAGTTCTCCCCTTTCGGGTCCCCTCTATTTATACATGAGCTCTAAACAATTAAGGTAATGCATAACCGATGGAGTCTATCCCGCCAAGGGCGCGATCCCCTTTTCCCGGCTCTGTAACGGCCAATTAGCTCCGTCTCCTTCTCCGGATTGACTCTACCAGCTGCGCTTGGCCTGAGGTTCACTAGGCCCAGCTTCTTGGGCCGGCCCAGCTTGAGTATTTCACAGGTGCTTGACCCGAAGCTGTTTAAATAGTTCATTTGGGCCGTCCTCTGGATATCGGCCCATCATAAGCCCCCCAACTCCTCAGTCCTCAGCTGGGCCAAGCGGAGGAGTGGGGAGTTTGCAAAGTCCACGTGGACGCTCCAGCGGGGATCCGGGCCGTTCCTTGGGTTCCGCACGACACTTGGGCACGATCTCCACAAATAAGTAATCATGGCCTGCCGATTCTCCTTCCTGTTGTCAGTTAAAAACCGCCGCTGGACGCCATCTCTTTCTTTCGCCTTCTTCACTACCGTTCGTCTGCAACTCCGCTACTCACTCGACTCGTTTTTCTTCCTGTCCAGGTCAGTTCCTTCTCTCGCCGCCATGATTGTCTCAGATTCCGATTCGGCTACCCCATCGTCCAATTCTCGCCAAGCCGGTCAATCGGCCTCTGACCGTAACCCCGGCCACACTCCATCACCCCGGCCGCCGCCGTCGGCCGTGCCTGGCCACAAACGGTGTCGATTAAGGAAGCAATACCCTTCCTCAACTCCGGTAGATGAGGGCTCAAGGGTTGAATTGGACGAAAACATCATGGCGTTGTGCCATTGTCAAATTACTGACCGGGGGTTCGCCGATGCCACTGACATGGTTGGACCCTCCATCGAGGTCATGAGACCTACCAGTACTCAAACTGCTCTAGACGCACCGTCGGGGTTCTTCACGGTCCATCTAGCATCTTTGAAGAAGGGGCTGCGCTTCCCACTCCACCCGTTGTTGATCGAATTCCTCAACGTGGTGGACCTTCTCTCATGCCAACTGGTCCCCAACTCTCACCGGTACATTGCCGGTTACCTGGTCTGGTGCAAAGATGTAGGGGTGAAGCCGACCTTGGACCATTTCATATTCACCTTCAAAATGACCAAGGGCCATAAAGATTGGGCGTCCTACGCCAGTCTTTCCCAGAGGTCCAGCAAACTCTTTGCTAGTGATAAGAAGGGGTCAACCAAAGACTGGAAGCCTTTCTTAGTCTTCGTTTCGACGGGGCCCGAATCTCCTTTCACGGGTTCAGGGCGCCCTTCCTTCCGCCGCATCCCACGCCCCCCACCTGATGCCACCCTTTTGTCTATCACTCGCCAATTCTGCAATAAGGGAGTTATGAACATCAAAGAGGTGGTGACAGAGGAAACCCTTGCCGGGTTGGGGTTTGAGTTTGTTCAGGATGAGCTTCGCCACCAACCCGACCTACTGAGAGGAGATGGATGGCGATCTCCTGCTCAGTCGCTTCACTGCAGGGAGGAAGAGGAAGAGAGAGACAAAGGGCCATGACAAGCGTTCTTCATCCCACCACGAGGAGAGTCCTTCTCGAGAGCCGGCCGTAATTGTGGTGGAGGACCAAGAAGATGCTACCCAGGAACCGGGTACCATGGCTGGCCAATCCCCTCCACACCCCGTGATGCAGGGTGGCGACCTCGTTGGGTCGTCTCAGAGCATTGCCTTGGAGCGACCCCCCTCACCACCCGCAGTGACCTACGAGGTGGCGACCGGGGGTCGCTCGACGAGGCTCTGCATCCCTCCCCTGCCCCAAAGCCTAGGGGACGTACAGCTGGAGACTCTGATCACTCTGCCTGCAGAAGACCAGGCTCGTATCTCAGCAGGCTCCGAGGACGACCTTGACAACATGGTCCTTTTCAGGCTCAGTCAGGTACTGGTCTTGATCTCCTATGCATCACTCCTTTTCTTTATGCCCCTAACCCTCACCCCTTTGCGCAGGCTACGCTGGGGATGATTGAGGTGGTCAGCCGGAAACGGGGTCGCCAGGCCGCCACGGTCGAGGCGATGAAAGCAGCCGAGGCCAAGCAGAAGGAGCTGCAGGAGGAGGTCGCTCGACTCACAAGGGAGTTGGAGGAGAAAGAAAATCGCTGCGCGGCGCTTTCTGTGGAGAAAGCTTCCCAGGAGAACCGCTGCGTCGCCCTTGAGGCAGACAAGGCCTCTTTGTCCTTGGAGGTAGAATCTGTTTCTGCTCGAGTGGTCGAGCTGGAAGGGGAGAAATCTGATCTGATCCAGCAGTTGGAGGTGGAGAGGAGCGATCGGGTCCGCCATGCAGAGGGAGCGGTAGAATCCTTCAAGTCCTCTCCTGACTTCACGTTAGTCGCGATGGAGCGGATGGAAGAGCTAACGGCCGCTTGGCTCAAAACTGAACCTGGGGCTCAATGGATGGTCAAGGAGGGGACCAAGTCCTTCAATTGCGGACTCTTCCACGCCCAACAGGTCTTCCACGACAGGCTGGCCCAGCTCCCCAAAGGATTCTCTCTCCCCGACCTTGACTTCCCTCCTCCCTGCCGCTCCTTGGCCGAGTTCGACCCCAGTCCCTATCTGGACGGGGGGAGCTCGAGTGCGTCGGAAGAAGAGGAAGAAGAAGAAGTGGAAGGTGGTCAGAGCGACCAGAATCCAGGGGCCAGCTTAGCCATGTCCAAAGCGGGTGGACCTTCCGGCTCGGCCGTCTAAATCCCCCATTGTTCCCCCATAGGTTTACAAACACTTGCCTCTCTCTTTTCCTTCGGAATGATTTGTCGTTTTGATACAATGCTCCTATGTTGTTTGATTTTCTAGATTCACCATGTGCTTTCTCTTTTTGGCGCTTTACTTCAGCACTCTCTTTTTTGATTTAGCTGGTTAACATGTATGTTTTAGTTTGGGCCCAACTCCTAATCCCGGCCCGTTTACCTGTCCGGGCCCAATCTCTGGATTGGCCATCGTGCCGCCCAATTGATCCAATGCCCTTCACCGTTTCTGATTGGACCTTCGCGCGGCTCAAAGTTGCTTTATTGGTTTGGCTGCCTCGAGACTTGACCGTCTCTTCGGTTCCTTCGCCCTGGCTTATTTATAAGTCCCCCTGGCCTCTACTCTGCTCCATCACCGAATATCCTCCTTTTCTCCATTCTCGCCATGTCTGAAGGAATTCATGTTTCTCTGGATCTTTCCGACGGGCCGGCTCCTTCTTCGTCGGAGCCTACCTCCTCCCCCAAGTCAGTCAATTCCAATGACTGGGGGGCTTGACCCTTACGAATTCTGTCGCCGGTTGCCTCGCCGGCAGTGGCCGTCGGTGAAACCGCCGCCACCACCTCCAAACCCTTATGAAGACTTTAGTGAGGCGTACGAGGCCCTCTCCGCCAACCGCCTGCCTGACGGGCGGATTGACTGGGATGCTCCATGCCCCCTCCATTCCCTGCAATGTATGGCCTGGGAGAGCTTTCAAGAGGAGCACTTACCCCTCCTAGAGCATGAGTGCGCATACTACGCAAGTTTTGAGCGATGGACTAGCGAAAGTCGCACCAGTTCGCCGGTGAGGCCTACGGAGGAGGTTGTGTTAGGGGAAGAACTGGGTTCTTCCCTACCTCGCCCCGCTTGCCATTCACTTCCCCAGAAGACCCCTAGGCGACCTGAAGTAGCTCGGGCGGCCTCAGGATCTCCATCCTCGCCTAGGTGATGCTGGTTGGGGTTCACAGAGAAGTGATCCGTCCCCCGTCCTTCCTTGGTAGGAGAAGGGCGGTGGGTTTTTGCCGAGGCTGGGGGCGACCACTCCCGTTCCATGTTGGGGAAGAAAGGTGGTCGTCCTGGACGGCCGGTGATCGGAGTTTTGCCTGCCTATACAGCCGCAGAACTACCTTTCAAACCTGCGTGTCCCCCCTAGACCTTCGCTCGCAAAGTCTTAGATTGTTGTTTTTCATTGTAGGAGATGTTTGGGGAAGTATCCTTCCTTACGTAGAGATTGTTCTCAACTGTACTGTAGCAGATGCAAGAGATTATCCTTGAAATGTAATGAACATTTCTGTGAATGTTTTTTGATGTTACCTGTTTACTTACAAGTTTCACCTTCTTCTCTTTCGCATCCTACTTTTGACGTTCAGGTTTCCTCGGACTTGAATCAGAGAATACCTCGCCTCTTTTGACTTAGCCATTTTCGGGTTACTTTGACCCTTGTGGCGTCGCCATACCCCCAAGATCCCCTGGTCGCTCATGCGATCAACAGATCTTGTGTTCCAGACTTAGCCGTTCTCTCAGACTTTCTTGCCACGGCGTCGTCTTCAACCTTGGTCGCTTGACAGGGTTCGACGCTTCACCCACTACTGGGTATCTTAGCACGAATCACCGTGC